GAGGGGAGGGGAGGGGAGTGGGAGTGGTGGGTTGGGGAAGAGCAAAGATTCTTCAAAGCATTTTGCATTGATCACAAAGTTTGTTTCTTATTTTGATTCACAATTATTAATTATATACTGAACATAAGGAAGATTCCATCTGCCTTCTGCTTTGACAGTAAATACCTTAAAGCCAAATGTTTTTGGTTGCAGATTAAATTGAAACATTTCTACTCCAAGAGAAGTCCAAGAAGGTCATCTTCAAAGTCACCATTTGTTAATGCATCACAGCAGAGTAACATTAGGAAAGTGCTGACTGAAGAGTGAGTACACTGCCAGTTAAAATTAATCATAAATCCCTTCCATTGTACATGTATATCATTATATAAATAGGAGCATTAGAAATTTGGCCATGTTTCAAAATTGTTTCCTGTTTGACTCAGCTGTTCCTCAAATCTGCACTGCTTCCTTATTCAAGATCCTTTGTTCTTCCTGCATCTGAATGCTTAGCATATTGACACCTCAACCCGCCACAAACTAGCAACGACTTTCTACTTTGATTTTGAAAATAAATTTGTTTTTATTTCCTGATGATGGAAACAACACACATACATGTAACTTGTAAGCTTTATTTTTACATCATGAAGGCTTTTACTTATCTTTTGCAGGAGTGAAGCAATTTCTGACCTTGTGAATCAAGTTAAAGAGCTAAAACTTCAAGTTGGACTATAATTTTACAATATTAGTCACAAGATCTTGTCAGAGCTGCAAATAACTTTTCATAGAAGAGATTTTTTTGATCAAATGGCTGTTCACACTGTGAATAGCATTTGTGTAAATTGAAGTAGCCTGAGGTGAAGAGAGACATTGTAACTGCTTATCTAAACCTCTAATTTGTAAAATTTTGTGAGTAGTAGTCACCTGTTTTTTGACAAAAAGCAAGCCAGAAATAATTGTAAAGAAGCTTGTCAATAACTTCTATCAGTCTAAACACATTAGCAGTAAAGCCAACTTAACTTAATTGCAGGAATAAACCTGATGCAGTTACTCAGTCCTTTAACCCTTTAACTCCTGTGAGTGACCAAGACAGAATTTCTTGTTAGTTTATCTATATAATATTATGTTGACAAATGATGAGAATAAAGAAAAATATCAACTATGGGAGTACTGATTGATCCAATACCAAATTCTCCAAACTAACATAATGAGAATCATTTGGCAGACAGTAAGGAGAATTACTTATGAGATCTTGGGAGCTAAAGGGTTAAACATCAACTTTACTACAATGTTTCATCTGTCTAGAATGTTAAGTACCTAAAAAGCCCCACTATATAATAAGGCCCTCCCCCCCTCCTTCACCTCTCTTTCTCTCCTGTACCTCATTATTGGGGTTACACAATACTCCTATTTCATGTTACAGACACTTTCTTAAGGGGTAGAGATCCACCAATGGATAAGTTGCGAGGTAAATTTTTTTTGTTGATAGATTTGAATGTCCTTTTGTCTTCAGGTTTCGCTGTAGTGTAGAACTTGATAACATCCCTTACAATGTTCATTTCATTTAACTGGGAATTGGGAACCAAAATTCCAAACTCCTCATAACATCTGTTGAGAATCTAGAGGGAAATATCAAAAATATAGTGATAATCAATAATTGCACAATCATTTTAATTTATTAACAGAACAATATGAAAAACATTCTATACTCATGACTGGCTATAAGATGCCTGGAAATTTTTCAAAAGGTAACACATAAAACACGCCACATAAGGGATTAACCTTGCCTCAGTCATTAACCCCTTCACATCCAAGATCTCTTTAGCAATTCTCCATACTTTTAGGTCAGAGGATTTAGTATTGGATCAAATTATAATCCAATTAACATTTGTTGATATTTTAGTCACTTGTGTGCGCAATACTGTACTGATTTTGAAAGGAGAAAGTATGTTTTGCTCACTGCTTGGAGTGAAAGGGTTCATGTTGTAAACCATGTTGTGAAAATATTGTAGCTACTCCCTCAAGGAATATTGCCCTACTTTTCTTTCCTTCAAAGCTGCTAAAATGAACAAAAATAATTACTTACTTTACTTTTCAGGCAGAGTTCTTGGTGACACGTACCTTATATTTTAAAACCAAATCTTTAACCGACTGATCTCTCCAATTTTCGTCGTCAGGCATAACTTCTGTGACAATATTTTCTAGTCTTTCCACAATTTCCTGTTTCTTCATGCTGTATACAGCTGGTTTTTCAACTTTTACAAATTGAAAATAACTGAAATGATTGAAAAAGAACATTGACCATTTAAAATCACATAATTCTGGTCAAGTTGCGTAGAACTGCACACAAGACTTACATCCAAAGCTGCAAGAGCATACCAACTCCAACAAGTTTCTAAATCTTGAAAATTGTTCGAGATTTTCTCCAAAATACATAACTAAATTAATATCCCTCACACGTGCAAAATTACCTCTCGGGTGTTTCATCCTCCTCTTCGGGTGGTCCCTCTCCGAAGACAAATTTTTTCACTCTGTCTAAAATACGGTCTTTTTTTGTTACATCTGTACTTAAATAAATTTTATAAACTGTCCTTGAAACACCTCTCAGCTTGGTAAGTCTACCACAACTACCCCTCAGTATGGACGCCATGTTGGATGGTGACCACGATGCTCTATGGTATTGGCAGTACCTCATCTGTTCAGACATGATTCCCGCGTCACGCGTGTGCAATACACCCAAGTTTACACTGGTTCACTTTTAACCAAACTCAAAACTTAAACGTTTGATCTTGATTGTATAAATCAGGAATAAGTAAAAGTGGCAAGAAATGAGTAATTTATGTTATGTCAGACTTCATCCCTTTGAGTCAGAATTTTTCTCTTGAGTCTAGCCTTCTTCGAGAACCTGCACATCGGCTGTAACGTTACAGCTGAGAGCTTTTGTGGTTGCGTGATGAGAAAATCGACCAATTAGATCGTATTTCGTGACAACAGAAGCCTTCTATGTAAATATGGGTGTGCTTATCACCATCGGATGCCCCTAGTGCCGGTCTTTGCAAATGTCACCCAACACTCTGAACACCGTGTAGTTCTTCAAAATTCAAATTACACCTATTTCAGGAAACTAGAGTTCAAAAATAAATTCTGTTTAAAGGGAATCACCCACGCGCGTGTGATGCTCAAGCTGTGGGCAAAGAGCTGAGAGGGAAAATTTATTATGATATTTTATTCCGAAGATCAAATTGTCATAGACGTGCAGTTTCATTTACGAGTGGACGACTCGCAAGTTACGGCCAGTGATCAAGCATGGATGTCCTTTCTTCTCAATACTCACACCATATTCAGCTTTTTTCTCATAATAATTATCACCAAACTCGGAATTCTTCGATCCGTCAAGATCAAAAGTGTACAAGTTGATATCCAAGTTGTTGATCATCCAGGTAAGATGAAGTCTTTATTATAACTAAACTACAAACCGTATGTTCCCCAAACACAGTTGACATACGTTTTTTTAAATGCACTTCGAAGATTTCAGTGTCTAAATTGAAAGTAAATGTGTTACGTCTCCTCGCGATGTACAAAAAGGATTCGTATGTATGTTTTACAATCAACGACAGTAATAATAAATTCGCCAAGCCCTTTTCCCGACGCGGAGTTAAGCAGATGCAAATTTTTTAATCATACGATGTTAATCTCGACTTTTCATTGGTCATTTTCGCATAGTTATTTGAATGTGCAAAATAAAATAGCATTGGGTGACTCTGATTAAGATTTTGAGAACATGCTTCAAATCAACTATTTTCATGACATTTCTCGTTTAAAGGAAGGCAAAATTTTATTGCGTGACTTAAAAAAAAAGAAAACTAAAGCTAATTGCACGCTTGGAAGAATGTAAATAAAGCTGGTCTTGTGAGAGGTGTGTGCGCCTTCTTAAAGCAAACACCATCGTCCATTCAAAAATAAAAACTTTCTGATCACAATCGCCCTTTCGTCACTCAAAGCGGGTTAGTGTTTGGAATATTTACACGTTAAATGCAAATAGGAATTTCCAAGTTTGTTCAATATTTTTTGATATGTTAATTTCAGTAACAGACTAACTGATGCGCAGCGAAGTGTGGTTTGCAATTTTTTTAGTAAATCATCAAGGCTATGTCTTTTGTACATTAAACACAACGACTGTCGAACGGAAATAGACATTAGGATCCGAAAAAGGAGGAGGGTTGGAATGGGGGTCTGAGGAATGTTTCCTTAAGAAATGTTAAAAAAAGGCTAAAATCTACTCATAAAATTCTGATTTTTCTTAACGTTGTGAGGGCAAATATCAACAATGAACATTTAACGGTTAGTCTTCATTAAGAAAGATAAACACTTTTGTTAAAAATTGCTAATATAGCACGATATGTCTGCCGCTAATTATGACAGTTACCAGACAAAAGGACAAAACTCACGTCCGAGCTTTAACCCTTGGACCCCTACAAGAGATTAGCATCTAATTTCTCCTCACAATATCACCCCTGATTCAAACATTAGGGTCATGAGAATGAAGGAAATGGTCACCAACTTAAAAAGCACTTGATTGTTAAACAAATTCTTCTTGTCAGCACCTCATGAAATGGATACAGAACAGTATGGAGAATATGCATACTGATGTTGGGATGATGAGGGTCAGAGGGCTACTGTTAGATAAACAATTGCATGAAGTTTGAAAAGAAAAGAAAAGTAAAATGTTACTGTTCATTTTAAGTTAAGCAGAAAAAAAGCGCGTTTGGCGAAAAGCTAAACAGCTGAGTAAAAAGAAGTGTTTGTTTTGCCTAGCTGATCTGCTGATCAAACAAAAATTAACATCACTTGAAAGGCAAACAGAATGAAATTTTCAAACTTGACGAGTAGACGCATGGCGAAACATTTAGTTTGTAAGTTTTTTATGCCTCAACGTTTTACAAAGAGACCAGCTAAATTAAAGTAATTTCAGCTCTGTTGGCCAAAAGTAAAATAAGAAAAATGAACCCTTTAACCCCTAAGAGTGACTAATCACCATCAAATCAAAAATAAGGCTGAGAATCAAGAAAATAATTCTCAACTTAAGAAGCTCTTGATTATTAAATAAAATACTCCTTGTAAGTTTCTTGGTAACTGTGTAGGGAACAGTGTGGAGAATCTTTACACTTATGTCAGGGTGTAAGGTGTCAAAACCCGCATAAAACAAGAGCACTAAAATTCTTACTTGGAGTCTGCTGAACTGTTTAAGCTCGTTACTTTTGATTGCTGTGGTCATTATCTAATTGGTGAGGTTTTTGATTCAGAGACGGCCTAGGAAAATTTTTCCTTCAAACAGATGGCGTTTGTTTTGCTTTTGTTTACGCCGTTAAAAACATGTAAAGCACAAGTATTTGGAAACACATAT